TTCCAAGAAATTCCATAGGAATTACTAGGAATTCCAATTATTTCCGTAAGAATTCCAAGGAATTCCTTAGAAATTTAGAGGAATTCCAAGCAACTTTATAAAAAATTAACGAACATTAGTAAACCATGAATACTATAATAGGTAGTACTAAATTTAAAGAAAAACATTTTGCAGGCGATTTTTTACTATCCGTTTTTCGTTTTCGCTTCCAAAATTTCCCAATATCAAATATCTACAGGTCAGATATTCTTTTAATTTAATATTGTACCCTCGATTATATATCTAAAATATTTTCCAATAGTACGGCCGAACCATCCCCGAGAGATCTACTTATAACGTTCCCTGATTTCGCCATTTTAAAGAAACCCTCATAAGATTTTTTTATTCAGTACTCCAGAAAGTGTAAAGTTGATTTTTTCATTTCCTCGGAATAATACCTAGGTATATACTATAGGGAAATTAATACAACTTTAGGTGCACTTCATCAATGATACCATGCGTAATCTTATGGAATTTACTGGTGATCGTATTATGACGTGCAACTGAAGTTTTATTAATTTCCTTTCCTATAGATACGAGTATAACTAGGTACCTATCGTTTTCAAAAAATCCCGAGAAAAATTAATTTTAATAAGTAAGTGCCGACATATTTCCAGTATTTTCACCTCATGATCCCCTATTGGTCCTAAAATTTAACTAAAAAAACGTAAATCTCGTAATAGTACTTTTTATTGTAAGATCTAGTACTTATAGAGACATTAGACATTTATAAAAATTACCTGAAAATTCATAGCGGAACTGCGAAACCGAGGTGGCAACGCTGGTTCAGACTGACAGAGTTACCGAGTTCGTACCAAGGAATTCCAAGGAAGACCTTGAATGATTGACCTTGACCTTGAAGACCAGGAATTCCGAATTACGAGGAATTCTGAGGAATTATTTGAGTAAAAGGAATTACGGCGTACACTTTTCCCTCTGCGGTTTACCCCTCGGACCTAAATATAAAATATTTTCATGGTGTCTGTCTGTCTGTCTGTCTGTAACACGATAACTCAAAAACCGCTAAACCGACTTTAACCAAATTTGGCACAAAAATACTGTGGCACCCGAGAATCTGGTCATTAGTTTTTGGTGGGGGGTGGGTGGTTGGTAAGGGGGTATGGGAGGGGGTTAAAAATTTTAAAAAATTGTAACTCCAAAATTACAGTAGCTAGCGAAACGCGGTTTTCAATTTAAGATTAGGAATAATATTTACAACAAAATTTGTAATAACATCAAAATCAGTCAAAGTCGCAGTTTTTGAGATAAAAAAAAAATTGGAAAAATTCCTTTACTTTGAAACTAAAAGAACTGCCTACCAACCTTTTATTAACATATTTTTGTATGAGCGGCTATACGTGCCTCCCGGTGCCAATTTTTTTTTGACTACTTTAATTTTTTTGAACGTAATTTTTTATTATCGACTCTACTGTAAATAGCAATATTACCAATTAAACAGAAACTATAAAATTTTGACATTTTGATTTTTGCTTTTGACATTTTCCTTAAAAAATGTTGTTTTTAAAAGTGACACCAGAGTGACACTGTCAAATCATGTAAACTCATGAAATGACTAAGTGGTTATGTAGCGTCTTTCAATATTTTTTTAATTGTTACAACCTAAATTGGTATTAATAACTCAATTTCTAAGAAATTAATTACAAAGAACTTTTGTAAATAAATTTAACTGTCATTCTATGTTGTGAAATCCTGAGCCATATTGTGACCACTCAAGTTAAGATGATTATAATCAGTGATATTATTACCTAGTAAACTCAACAGCTGTTTTGATTATGTAGCATCGTAGGTATTGTTTAAAAAATATATACTTATTATTGTTACCTATTTACATAGGTAACAGGTATGTAGTTATACTGCTGTTTAATATACCAAGTGTCAAAGTCGATTTTAGAAGTTCTATAAACAAAAATATAAATTTTCAAAGACAATTTAAAGAACTGATTCAGCATTTTATTAATAAATATTTTTATTCATTATCATGTGCGTATTTTAATCGATTTTATATGCGTTATTCTGTGAATTTTTGTTAATAATAAAAAAAGATAAAATTAAGGTTGTTCATAGAGAACAAAGATGAAAGTGCCTACCTGTAAACACAGCTTCATTGTGATAATTTTTTTTATCGGATCAGATAATATAGAATGCCTTAAAAGGATTATAATTATTTAAGTTGTGATAAAAATGGTGACAAATATAATCAATTTCTTTCCAAATTTATTTTTATTCTTCCGGATCTATAGTCTGTCCAACGAGAAGATCCTTGACAGTGATAGATGTGTCTGTCGTTTTAATTTCAAAGTAGTTTATTTTATTTTACAAAGAAATAAGTTGGTACAACTGGAACGCATAGCAGGAAATTAATATATGTATTTAAAATTTGACTGACAAGTATCTTCAAAATATTGTGAGAAAAACTATATAAAACTGTAAAAATGTAATCGAGTTATTTTATTTAATAAAAAACGGTATGTGTTAATACAAAACAAACAAAAACAAGACACCACATACCAAAAAATATAATTGAAAAAAGAACTATTTCTTACTTTCAAGCTTTATGAAACTTCCCGCATTTATGATTATATTTATCAATATAACTTATGGACAAATACAAATTTGTAATATTGTGCAGGAATAAATAAACACAACATAAATAAAACAAACTATTTTATTAATGATAACACTTACCAAATTTTATACCTCACAGGTTGATTAATTAACTTTAATCTTAATTTTTTTAAACCAGTACCTTTTGACATTATTTTTCTGCAGTACTAAAATCCATTATTTACCTATCGTGTGATGTCGATATTTTACAGCTACTCCAGTTTTTAGTATGTGTTTAGTATGGTCCTTCTATCATATTCGAGAGGCACTTATCTACGACGAGATGGTATACGAACTTTATTGATAGTAACTTTATTGGTGTATCTGTATAAGACTTTCTGCCTGGGCAGCGAGTATTAACCATAAACTGTGCTCTGGGTTCTACAGTTAATTTTCACTCAATTTTTCCTCCACTTGACTTCAAAAGACACAAAACACACGTAATAACACGAATCAAAATGCATCATCTTCCAAAACGCAGGGTATTTGACAAAAGTTGTCACAAAATTATAACCTATAATTTGGCAAGACTTTGACAAACGTCAAAAATCTAAAGGCGGGTTCATACGCATCGGCGTCCGTTTGTCGTTCATCGTTCCGCCAAACCAATAAAATTGAAATACGATCTGTCATTTTTGAAATAAACCAATAAAACTGGTTAAAAACAACAAGTGACGACGCATGACGAATTTATATTTAAACCCATCCATAGTTAACTTAAAAATTATTAGAAACTTTTTTTAGTAAAATAAATAGATTGGTATGGGACGTCATCTGCCTTTCTTTTGTCAATCTTACCTGAGAAAAAAAACAGAGTCTATCTAGTATTAATGAATGGCTTAACCCCTACTGGCGTGGTGGGGTCTCGCGGACCCTGATCAAAATTTAAACCTCTGTAAAATGTTTACGTTTAAGAATTAGGCCTTGCCGCTCCATTTACCTTTAAGTTAGGGTACCAACATGCAACTGTTTAAAACGCATTTTATTTTATCAAGTATTGTTCCTACCAGCGGAGGCTAAAGTTTCATTGGTGTGGCACCACCACGCCAAGAATTTTTCATTATTAGGATAGTCTGGGTAGTCTAAAAAGTGTGCCTCACTGGGACGCTAATTTTGAGGAAGCATTAATTGAGTGGTTTGATGACCTTAAATAGGCTTAAGTGAGATGAAGACCATCGAGACATTGATTTTTCTCCGAAGAGTAACAATAACTCCGATTCTGAATCTCTTACTTATAGAAGAGAGAAAATTGAAGAATCAATACCAGAAAAGAAAGAGATGTGGTATATTGCAAACACATGTCAATGAAGAAATGACAAAAAACAAAAATCTCATGAATCAGATGTGCACGATCCATGTGCGGCAAATGCAGATCCTATGTAGCATGAAATATGACCATGATTGGTAACAATGAATTTAAAAATCGCGCCTTTGATGACGTAATTAAAAGTTTATTTGGTATCGCTTATAGGTAGACGTACGCAGAGTTCCATGTAAATGATTGTAAGTCGACTGGCTGTCTAATAAATATGTTGTGATAATCTATATATATAAATCTCTAAGTCCTGACTGATCACTGACTCATCAACGCCCAGACCAAACCCTTGACCCTAGAAAGCTGAAATTTTGCACAGGGGTTCCTTTTATGATGTTTACGTGAGATAAGAAAGGATTTTTTAAAATTCATCCCCTAAGGGGGTAAAAAGAGGGGTGGAATATTACAATATTTTTTATTTAAAAAACGGTTAAGTTTCCGAAAAAACGCTTAAACACGTATATTTTATTTTCTTTTTTACATATTTTAAGATTTTTTAAAAATTTATACAGGGTGTTTCAGAAAATATGACCATTGAGTAATCACGATTCTGCTTAAGCTGCTTGACGTTTAATGCTGATTTTGGCAAACGGATTGACTGTGGAGTGTAGAGGTTCGATAAGGAAGGGTTTCTCGAATCTCAAATTCCAAGAGGGTGAAAACGCCCCTCAAATATTACAATATTTGTTATTTAAAAAACGGTTAGTTTTTCGGGAAAACGCTTGGACACGTATAATTTATTTTGTTTTTTACATATTTTGAAATTTTTTAAAAAATCATACAGGGTGTTCCAAAAAGTTGGGCAATTGATTAACCACGATTCTGCTCCAGTTTGTATGTTAATGGAAATTCTTGCTTTGCTTTATCATATCACCATTACAAATGATTAATTCGACGCGAACGAAGTCGCGGGTACATGCTAGTATCTAATAAAATTAAACATAATACTAATAAGCATCTATCATGATTTTAAAAAAGATTCTTGGAATTATTATCGATATAATTCTTGTTTATTTTCCAGGCCTATTCACGAAGGTGTTATCAACAATGATCTGATGTTAGTAAAAAGAATGTGCGCCGTGTTGAAAGCCTTAAGAAGACCGGTAGACCTGGAAAACCACAATGGATGTGTAAGTATTTAAGATAAGTGAAGAATATAGACCACAATATCACAGTTGTTTCTCGACATTACTATTTCACATACAGGGTCCGGAAAAAGTGCGTCGGGCATCTCTGTAGCTCCTATAAAAAACTTGGGAATTTTTTTTAAGTGCAGTCCTAAAGTATGTAGGTACTAGAATGTATTTGAAGAAAATATTTTAACTTCTACAATATGGCTCAAAAAAGTGTGAGTGTACCGGAGTTATTTTTTTTAAATGGAACGCCCTGTATATTATTGCATTTTTGGTTTCTTTTCATAATCCTAAGATATGTACTTATAAATATATTTCGATAGTTTCAGAGATATCTATTAATAAATAAATAAAAAAATATATACCGGGTGCGTCTGAAAAGTGACTCACCCCTATAACTTTTTTATTTTTTCAGTTAAAAAAACGAGATTTGGTATGTTAGTATATGACATAAATTAGGATTGATTGGCGTATTCAATTGTTTTTGGTCACTTCCTATTTCACCGAAAATGACGACAACTTTTGATTTTTAAATGGCAATCTCGGTATTTTTTTTCTTTATTCGATAGAAAATGACATTCTGAATAGAATGACATATCCATATGTCAACTTTTGACATTCTCGCTTATTAAAAAATTGTATTTTAAAATTCAATCTAGAGTGCCATGGCTATGTTAAAAACACTAATTCTCCATCAAGGAGCCTTGGAAAAATAGATTTGATCGTCTAATTTTTTTAGTGTCTTGTCCTGGCGAGTTAGAAAATGCTCAAATCGTATTTGTAATCATATCTCAATTTTTTCAAAGGGAACGAGGGTGGCTCATTAGCATATTTGGAAAAAGCGTTTTTTTACGAATAATTTGATACCACTCACTTGGTATTTTGAGTCAAATTGTCGTTATGAACCGCATGTTTCAATTTCAAATAAACCATATGCGAAAATGTCAAAAGTTGACATATGATATGTCATTCTATTCAGAGTGTGATTTTCTATCAAATAAAGTAAAAACAATACCAATACCAATAATAAAATTGCACTTATTCATTGAATTTAATTATTATTAATCATGATAATAATAATATGAATGAAACTACAAATTTTTATGAATTAATTTTTATATAGTATCGAAGTTCAACTACCTTTTTTAATAATAATTTATAGTATTATTATTTATTTCTAAAAGTGGCGTAATTTTTCACAATTTCATATCTTACTAATAAAGATGAGTTGAATTTTATTTTAGATTAAAATATCTATCGGCTGTAAAATATTGATTTTACAATGACTGAAAATCGTACGAGGAAAGGATTTTTAGGAAGGCGAAGGTACGTCTGATAGAGTTTTTCTATGAAAACTTATATCAGTTAAAAAAAATCATTAAGTGGAAAAAATATTTTATGGGTATATACAGGGTTGTTCACCACATACGACATGGAGTATTGTAGCTAAACGATGAGTTTTTACAAATTGTAAGTTTGGGGTTTGTTGAAGGACTATTAGAGCTCCAATTTAAAAATATTTTTACAAGATACAGAGTGTCCCAAATAAATAAAAAATATCAAAGTTGTATTTTTTTAAATGGAACACCCTGTATATTATTACATTTTTAGTTTCTACGATTAAAATAAAGGTAAATTTGATTAAGGTTTATTATACTTAAACCTTACCGTTTTTGAAATATTTTCAATTTTGTGAAATTGCAGTAAAAATTTTAAGGCTTCATTTCTCCAAGGGTATCAATGTTTTTTAATACTAAATATTTAATGAAGTTTATTTATTGATCAGTTATTGTGTTGCAATAATAAAAATAATACTACCTTATACAGAGTGTTTAAAAATTTATTTTAAATAATTATTAGATTCAAACGGCAATAACTCCTTTAATTTAAATAGAACACCCTGTATATTTTACGAGAATCAGATGCACAATTTAATTGTCTATCAAATTATATTATACCATTTTTACCTATCTCTTTAAGTTTCCGTAAAAAATGCATTTTCTTGTAATTTAGAACTTATTTATCAATATACCCATGGACTATTGACATTTTAGATTATTTTTAAAGATGTACCAAATTTTTAAAGAGTACAGATACTAATATTGTCGATATAATTTGTTTATTTCATTAAAAAATAAAAAAAAAACTGTTTAAATATTTGTTAAAGAGGATCAATTAATATGATTCCAGTATTCAAATTACATTAACTGACTGTTTGCGTTGATTAATAATAATTGCTCCAAATACTAAAAAACTGAATTTTGTATGGGCATTAGACAGTGTGATAAAAAGTAACACCTTAAAAATGATATTTCATTTTTTAATAAATGCTTATTTATAACAACAGAGACTTTAATTTGATAACTTATTATTATATTGATTTCTAACTCAAATCCACATTTATTTATAATAATTTATTAACGAACACAATTAAGTATGTAATTAATTAGTATATGGGCGGAAATAATGGTGTTATATTTAATTAATGGTATACTCTTTTATAAAGATTTAAATAGTTTTCTTTTTGCATACAAATGGGCTAGTAATATTATCGTTTTGCTAAAAACGATAATATTACTAGTCACTAGTCTGTACATTTTGTACATTTGTTGCTTTAAAAACAATCTAAAATGTCAATATTCCATGGATATATTGATAAATGAGGTCTAAATTATAAGAAAATGCATTTTCTACGAAAACTTGAAGGTATAGGTAAAAAATGGTATAATACAATTTGATAGACAATTTAATTGTGCATCTGATTCTCCTAAAATATACAGGGCATTCCATTTAAATTAAAGAAGTTATTGCCGTTGGAAGCTAATAATTATTTAAAATAAATTTTTAGACACTCTGTATAAGGTAGTATTATTTTTATTATTGCAACACAATAACTGATCAATAAATAAACTTCATTAAATATTTAGTATTAAAAACATTGATACTGCAAAAGATTTTTACTGCAATTTCATAAAATTCAAAATATTTCAAAAACGGTAAGGTTTAAGTATAATAAACCTTAATCAAATTTACCTTTATTTTAATCGTAGAAACTAAAAATGTAATAATATACAGGGTGTTCCATTTAAAAAAATACAACTTTGATATTTTTTATTTATTTGGGACACTCTGTATCTTGTAAAAATATTTTTAAATTTTTCCGTTCATAAAACCATGCTTCCATTAGTAAACAGCGCGTTGAATTTTTCTTCTTCTACACAATTTTTTCAACTGTATTAAGTAATACCTGTTTTTTTTATTGGAAATCCGCAAACGGCTAAGTTTTCAATCCAGGTATCATTTTTTTTTAATTTCTCTTGTTAATCTCGTTAGTCTTTGTCAGATTTTTCTCTAGAAGTTTTAATTTTGTCATGATAAAAATGATTCAAAACCACTTCATTCACAAACTATTCGAAGATTTTAGTCATTCAAGTTGTTTAAATTTTTCTTGGATGATTTTTTTCCATGAATGCTTATTTATGATCGCTATATTTGTTTTGATTAAACTATTTGGTATTATACATCATTCTAGTTTTAGGAAGAGGGAAAAGTTTCTAAGGAACAAAATAATTGGGAAATTTTGTTATATGCGATTTTTCCACTAAACGATAAAATTTCGTTTTTAGGTATAATCGGAATTTTGTGTACAGATAGGTATATTGTATTCGTCGTAAAGTGTAAATATTTAGTTTTAAGGAATTATTGAATTAAGGAGTTATATAGAGGGTGACCCGATAATAGATGTCAGATATAAACTTTGTGGATATAGCCCAACCACTTTAGTTGAAATATGGCGCAGTTTTTTTTTTGTAAAAAGTATTTTAAAACAGCGTACCTTAAGGGTTGATTAATTAACTTTAATCTTAATTTTTTTAAAGCAGTATCTTTTGACATTATTTTTCTGCAGTACTAAAATCCATTATTTACCTATCGTGTGATGTCGATATTTTACAGCTACTCCAGTTTTTAGTATGTGTTTAGTATGATCCTTGTTTATATATTCTTAAAGTTGCCCAACCGACTAGACAAAATGTGCTGCCAACTGAAGGACAAATCGTGAACCTTTCGGGGCGGAGTCAAAAATATCGATTATTTTCGTTATTTTCCTCAGAGTAATGTAATAATATAGCCAGGGTTTCTGCGAACTTTAATAGTGATCAGCTGATTAAGAAATTTAAACGAAACTTTTATTTTATTGTAAATTGTGGATTATTTTTGCCTGTTATTTTAAGAATTCTAAACCGTATTAACAAAGAAATTATTATTTCGATATGTTGGTACATTATTTATAATTTATGATAATGCTAATTGCTGTTAATTACTATTTTAAAAAAAGTTACATACCTATTTTAATTTGATTTAATGCAGGTTTATAAAAGAATCATTTCATTCTTAGATTATTTTATTCTAAATTGAGTGCTTTACGAATTTTATGAATTTTTTTTGTGAAAACATGAAACTTTTTACATTTTTGATGCCAACTAATTGGCAAGGTATTATTGGTATGGAAATTAGCCAAGAAAGAAAAGAATTGGCTATAACTTGTAATTTTTCGAAAAAAACATATTATACCTATATCGCTGAAAAGCTTAAAAAATGGCGCTTTTTATGAAGTCATGGCCAACTATGGTTTCCATTTAAAAAAAATATAATGTTTGTGTCATATGTGAAAAATTACAGGCTTTAGAAAAATTACAGAAAATACAAACTCATTAGGTATGTGATTATCTACAACTTTTATCTGAAAAGTTTTTGTCTAAAATACCGTATGGTCGAATAAAAACGGCTTCAGCGATGGCTATGAATTGACGATCGATGATATTTCCCATATAATTTTACATAGGTATAAAATGACAGCGATCTTCATTTCATAGCCATCGTTGACGTCGTTTTTATTCGATCATATGGTAGATTATAATGGAATTAGAGACAAAGTTTTAAAATAGCCAAAATTTGTTTTTTTCGAAATATCTAGTAAGCCTTGAATTTCTCCGAAA